TATATATATATATATATATATATATATATATATATATATATATATATATAGAAAGAGAAAAGAGTTTAAAAAAGGCAACAGTGGTATCAGTTTACCACTCATTAAAATTCAGAAGGAAAGTTAGTGGTCTTTTTTCTGCCTCTTTACCACGTTATAATACCGAATTTATCGATGACGGGTAAATAAGCGAAACATAGCGAAGAATAAAAAATTTGACATCCTGATCTGATAGAAAAAGCATTTTTAATTTAGTTCGTCAAAAAGCTGGCCAAATTCCACGGCATAAACCAGTTTACTGCAACTGTGTAAAAAATACGACTTATTGGAACTATGGAAAATTATATCATTTAGAAGTTGAACAGTATGACTAATAGCATAAGAAAAAATGATCTGCAATCTATTTACATCGAAAAATAAATAAATAAACAAAAAACTGACTATTTAAAGGCATCAACGCACCGTATCCATCAAAAAAATTGCCACTCGAGTAATCAGTATTGACTAAAAAATATCGTCAGTTACAAATATCAAAATCAAAAGTCACATGGATAAAATTATATAATCAACAAATTCCATTTATCTGTGAGTCTATTACAGATGTCGCACACATCAAAACATAGTGATGGATTTCGACGAATTTCGTACGAAGAAAGGGATGAAAAGGGAAAACAAAAGCAAATATTATATTCGAAAAGCGAAAACCAATGCCAAAAAGCATGACATGGACAAAAGAAAATGGCGAAACTTATTAGGAGTCTGCACGATAGAAAGCAAACAATGTTCAGAGAGTTTGGTAAATAGAAATTAGTATAGAAATTTCAGACAAGTACAATGCTTCTTAAAGCAGTCGGAACAAAATTTCTAACTAGTTGAAAATACTATTAGAGTGGGAATAAGAACGATAAAAAACATCCAATGTGTCCGGAAAGGCGCTGCTGAAGTCATCTTTTGTCCATATTTGTCCAACAAATCCAGTATGACACCATTTGTCCAACCAAATCCAGTCTGCAAAGACTTATTCAAATATTTCTACTTGTCTGGTATTTGTCAATTATTCCAAAGGAGCTATTTCATAACTTGTAACTAATAGCACGATTTATGGAACTACCAAAGATTGAGAACCCGAGGATTTAAATTCAAAATCAAAAAGCATGTCATTAAAATTCAATTTGGAAAATGTTCAATCAGTAACTTAGACCTACATGTCGGGAAATTAATTGCAAGTATGAAAAATACAGGAATGTTAAATGATTCGAATTAAAATAGAAATCAAGCATTAAGACTTAGGGTTTTAACAAACCTGCACATCGTATTCTCCACCGGAACCAGCGCTACATTCTTCAGAAATTGCCGAGACGTTATATTTTTCGAACATTGAATGAGTACGTATAAAAGATTTATATGTTACACTTAACCACTGCGTTGCCATAGCTTCAGCTGCCTATAAAATATTCTAATTCATAAAAACTGAATGATTCATGAGGAAATCATAACGTTCATAAACAGGTGCAATAAGCTAATAAAAGTCAACATATTTTAAATCATTAAAATAATAATCTGTACCTAAAACTATAAAACGAACCTTCATTAGTAGAGAATCTCCGGTAGTACGAAAACCTTCGATGACCATATGTACCATTGGTGGCCACGCATTCTCCTTATCCCACTGCTGTTCACTTTCCATGGCCAAAGAAGTTGGTAAGCCTTTGGTGAAATTCAGAATACCTTCTCTCTGCACGTTTTTTGAAGATCAGAGTTTAAAACAAATATTTTAGAATTTCATGAAAAGTTTGCACCACTGCTGATTTCAAGTGGAAATAGGAATGTGGCTCGAAGGATATAATGTAAAATAAGGACAAGATGGATTTCGAATGAAGCAGTAGATTACAACTTATCATGATTTTAAATATTATTATTTCCAGGAAGCATACCTTCAGGTACTCATAAACTCTGTGTGGAATAATTTCATCTTCACCATCGTAACATTTCGCATACAAGGGTAGAGCGTTCGAAATATAATATGTGTTGGAGTGAAGCTAGAATTTTACATTTAAAATACAAGATTTGTTCAACAAATTTTCCATTATCAAAAATAATAGCTAACAAGGTGTAATAGGTATCTCTTACTATCACATTAAGCATTTCTCACTCAAAAAAACCTCGTCGTGCCAAAAATTGACTTCATTTAAACTTGCAGTATATTATCTTTATTTTCGATAGGACCTTTTTCTCCAGATCGTAATCATACCAAATACCATCAGTTTCATTCCAATGGAGTACTTTCATCACCAATTTCGCCATTTCATAACGTGACTGATAGAGTAATACTTTTTGGAAATTACCTGAAAATTTGGATCCGCAATTAGTGACGCGCACTCCATTAGTTTGCTATACTATAACACACCGAAAGAGAATAATAGGGAAAGGTTTTCTCCACGTAGGCGATGCTTAATGTTACGGAAGGGAGAAGTAATTGAAATGAGTTACAGAAAACTACCATTTAAAGAAACCATAATGATATGCGAATTAGATTTCATGTCCCAAACTAAATCACTTATTGACAAAGAGCGTTTAGTAACAAAAAGATTATAGAAAAAGAAAATACCAGTGATTTCGTAAAACGAAGCCATAATTCTCGCATTAATACAAATGAAAGCATTCAAATCAACGGGTACAATGGACCAAGTACGGATTGATTTCATGTCGTGCATTGCTGGACCACTTTGTGCAAACCAACGAGTACTGAAATCCCAGCCTGTTTCAGCTGCTGAAGCTACGTTCGACCATATCGATTCTTTTTCAGCTAAAAAAAAACGATTTGACAACCTTGATTCGTTTATTCTCATGAAGTGAAGCATACGATTAAAATGAAAAAAAAAAATGGTTGAAATGATAAGGACAACAAATTAATATATGTAATGGATAATAAATGTGATGCAATTAGGAAGTCTAATATAGAAAAAAAAAGTGAAAATGAGTGCGTTTACACAATTATTAGGGCGTTCAATCAAAAAACCAGAAGGATTACGAGAATTACTCGGTACTTTTCATGAAAATGTTTTAGACCAACCAATTGAATGAAGATTTTTCGCTAACTCCAAATCTTCCCTGTAAGATTCAGGGCGAGGTGTTTTCATGCTTGCACGATATTGGAAAAATGAAATATTTACACCATGTTTTTCATCATACAGTGATTGGGTACGTTGCGACATCCAAAAGTTATACTCCTTCTCAAGCATTGGAAGAATCTATAAATATGTAGACGTGGGGAAATCATAATTTGTGTCGGTGAAGATATGATCTTTCATATATATGACTTGGCTTCCATTGAAAAACTGGATTTCTCTTTAGTTACTGTTATTGAAACAAGTTACGAAATAGCTCTGTATATCAAATCTTGTGATTTGAAATATGGATTTCTCAGTTTTTTCAGGAACCATCAGAAAGATCGATTAGTTGAGAGGGACTTGGAACAAACATCTTGACCATATAAAAAATGTAAAAATATACAAACCTCTTGAACAAAGTCTAAATCACCAGTGGCTAAATAACACTCATAAACCATCGGAACAAGTAATGGTGGTTGGGATCTGACCAGATAATATACACGACCACCGTTTGGTACAAAACCATGGCTAAAAGTGTTGACTCACTAGTTATTATTTCATTAATGTTGTTTACATTTACTACACTTGGAAATATTTGTCTAAGAAACTTATCACTCCGAGTATATGGCAAAAAAATATAATACGAAAAAATATATAATAACAAAAACATAACAAAAAATATAATTAAAAAAATATAATGAAAATATAATAACTCACTTATCAACCATATAAGCTAAATTACGAACAATTCCTTTTGCTGTTTCGTACATTTCCGAAAATAGCAAGCCTTTCACTATCCAGAATGAATCCCTGAAAATAACACTTCAGCTATCGTGAGAGCAATTTGAATAGAAATTTTTCCATCCATTCAAGGAAACTACTTTATAGTAAAAGAAACGTAACGAAAATCTTTTGGCCATGAATAGATTACTGAAATTCATAAACCGCTCTGATTAAATATGTAAAGAAATTTCAAAGTCCCAAGAGGATTTCTGAATACATCCTTCCTGAAAATATAGATGACATTTCAGAAATATAAAAAACAACTCACCAATAGTAAAATTCACGGAAACGACCTCCTGGTATAATAAAAGGATGAGGAACATAGAGCAAAGAATAGAGCTCCTGGTGCCGTCTAACATCGTCTTTTACCTTATATGAAATTGAAACCAAAATGAAGGGAGTTAAATTAAGTTATACAAAAGTGAAGTCCAAATTAAAGCACTATTATGGTTTTGATTGCTCAAAGTGTTCAATGTTTTGGTTTTCATCGTAAAAGGGAATAGTTTTTGCCTTTCTTCGCCTTAGGATCTACTGAGAATACATTGTATAATGTCAACTTTTTTTTTCTCAGATACCTGCGTAATGATAGTCAAGAAATAAAGATAAGTATAAAGTGATTCACTATTATTAAAAATATGACAGTGGGAAAAAATGATCTAATTACCCCTTAGAAATTCTTTATCACTGCCTTTGAAGAAAGTTTACAGGTTTCTCCAATTAAAACCTACCTTTCTACAAAGGTCTCGCCATATTCTATGCAAATGCAATGCCCATCTTCTTAGATGATAATTCTCAATTTTAAGAAAACTTGACGGGAAGGTTACCCAATCCTCAGGGTACCACTCTATTAACTCAAATCCTGGAGGGTCGAAATGTTCGTCCACGAATTTTTGCAGCAATGTCTTGTTTTTCAATTTTTCGCCAAAATCATCGAAATCTTTCAAAGTTGTCACTGCAATAAAACAAATTTCAAATGGACTGAAGTTCACATTTAGAAGATATAAGTTTCGAAGTTTCTAAACTTAATAATGAAAGACTCAAGAAATTGAGAATAGGCATTTACTATCAACAGACGTGAATTTCAAACATATTGTTGATGCTATCAATTGTTACAAGTTAGAGCTGACGGCCCACATGTGAAAATAATCGAAAAATGTTGCATCTGTTAAACATCAAAACTATTTCAAAACAATGGTGGCATAGAAATTCTGAAACTCTTCACTATCTGAATCGTTAATTTATCAGTTTCTTGCATTTTCCTCTCTAAGTTATTAACATTTGTCAACTTCGTCGAGTTAATTATTATTTCACTTTTCCATATTTGATGAACCTAGAGATTTACTTCTAGGAATATATCGCAAATTTCAAAGGTTTTTAGAAATTTAAGGCCCTACTATGCTCTCTGCAATAAAGAAAGTTTTAACTGAAAGTTTCTTTAAGCTTCTTCGACACCTCTAGAAGTTCAAAAAAAAAAAGAAAAAGTTTCCTTTAGTAGGACGATCAGGTCCTGAAAAAATATTTCATACCTGGATCATATTTTAAGGGCATATCAACGAAATGCTTCGAATCCGGATATAAATGTGCATCCTGAACAGCCTTCAAAATAGGTCCATCACAGTAAATTTGGCTGAAAGTCGGATCAAAGTCATGAGGTTCGAAAAGAATCCACTGCTCAGTAATTTAAAGTAAAATATTCTAACTGCTCCATTGCTATTTCATTTTGCACTTCACATATGGTCCGCCATTCTTATGATCTAATTACTCTTAGATAAGTAATTCAGTAATCTAGCTCTTTGCAATAGTTATTGCTAATCAGACTGATTCAAAAAAGTAGGATCAAAGAGAGTAAACTTACTTTAGCAGGGTGATCACGTAATAAAGCATCTTGTTTATAATGCAACTTAAAACATGAGTTGACACAAATTATATCAGTAAAAAATGAAAAAGAGATCAGGTAAAAATCAAATTAAAGTGAATACCGACCAAAAGTAAAACGAAATTTCAAACAAAATTTGACCCAAGTTTCAACAAATTTCAACAAGAATAATGAATTTTTGTTGAGGAGCGAAAATATGATTGGAACATACAAACACAACAAGAGCAATGTGCATCAGACGAGAAGCGCAAGGAACGAAATGTGCACTTCAAATATCTATCGCTAGCATCGTCATCAGTGAATATCAAGATGATGGATTCACAACAAGAAGCAATTTGACCACCTCATTATTGCCGCAAGGTGTTCAAAAAGCTTCAAAATTTTAAACCATCTGTTCAAAGCCGTAATCCTTAACTATTTGTTACTGCTTTTCCAGTGATGTAGGACGGGCAAACACCTGAAATATGAAATTTGAGAAAAGTATTGTGGAGATGTTTTTGACAACTCATTGCTAAATAACGCTTCGAAAAAAGATTCCAGAGAAAAGCAGAAAAAAGATCTAGTTGATGAGGCTATTCTGATGAGAATGTGGCCTTCATTATCTAATTTTTTTTTCGTTTTCGTAATCTGCTGCTTTGTACATCGACTATAAAAAGAGAAATTCCAAGAATGCAAATCACTACAAATATCTCAGTGATGCTGCAGATAGGAAAATTCCAAAAATCCAAATCACTACAAATATCTTAGTGATGCTCCAGATATCACTGAATTCTGACGGTTGCACATTAAACATAAGCCAGGTTGGTCCGTTCTCTGACACGATTTTATATTCATGCCATCTAACGAACAATTTAAACGAAGACACATCTACGGTAAAGTGAAAAAGTACCCTCTTTTCGCTTAATTTCATTTTCTCTTTTTGACAAGGTTACCGTGGTAATTGTCTGCCATATCTACACGTCCAAATCAATATATAAAACGCAACTTGTATGCAGGACATGATTTATATAAATACATAGAACAACAATTTTCGTACGTTCAGTAAACTAGACCAATTCAATAAAAACCTTTCAACTGTGAATCTGTACGGATTTTAGGTGAATGCGAAGTAGGTGTGCTACAGACCAACTCCATGTGTTTTGAAAATAATTAACAAATCTTCCCATAAATAAACAAAAATTTTCGTACATCGTCTATTTAACAAGGGACGTGAAAGGTTCGAAATTACTTCGAGAAAGTCAAGGAAATGCTTCTCCCATGACAAAAAAGAAAAGTAGATGTATTCGTCAGCAACAAAAGTACTCGAGAAAAAAAACACGTCGAGAAAATCTCAGCGTTTTTTTCTACACAAATATATATACTCAGCCTGAGTTCTCACTGTAACGTTAGGATTATTGCTATTGATAAAACCACGTTATCATTAAGTGTACCACGTGACAAAAACAAAAAATTATAGCAAGCAAACACTTGATTACAGCACTTCACGACGTATCAAAGGTACCGTATTGCGAAGTCTAAATTAAATGTGTCTAAAATTCAGATTCGATATAACGATAATTCGGTGGCCTTGTTCTCGGTTGTACTTTTTGTTGTCGGGTGATACTTTTCTCCTTTAATTTTTTTTCCGCTGTCATTTCGGTGGGATTGACACATACTTAGAAGTCTCACTTGGAATTCAAACATATTTACAGAGTCAAACGGAAGTTGGAAATACAGAGATTAGTCATCGGACCAAGTTCGATGATCTCTAACAGTGAAATACGCAAGTTACTGATTAGCTTACTAATCTGGTTTATTAACAATAACTTATTGCAGCCTTGTTGGTATTTAGTTTTGAATATTGTTCGATTCTTTTAGTCAAATTATTTCAGAAAATCTCATTAAATAGTTACCCACACAGTTTCTATTACGGTTTTTAATTTTGTTTGGAATCGTTAAATGATTGATTAATGGTCATGGATTTTTGTAGCTTATGAGAAGTGGATCAGATTATAGCCTAAGTTCTAAAAAAAAGAACCATCAAAGCAGTTCTTGAGGATCGTTTCGAAAGCGCTTAAGGTAATCTAGTTCATATTGTTTATTTTTTTTAAAGACCTAGTTAAAAAATAGTGTAAATGTATTAAGTGGACCCACAGAATTGTCTTATATGTTACTTGTGTTATCTGGAGTGAAAAAGTTTGTTTTTTGGGTTTTACCTTGTCAGGTCTAGAAACGAAAGCCTTCGTTATCTGGTCCAGATACTTTGTTGGTATATGTGATTGCTTCCCTACCATTTCCTGAACTTTAAAATAGATTTGTTGACCAGTACCGAATAATTTTCCAAAATGCATACTTACAACATTTTAAACTGATGCGACCCACTCATTTTTGGCAATTCACAAATCTTTGGGCATTCACAAATCGATTAGTCAGTAATTGTTATTCCTACTTTTCATTAAATGATAAAGATAGCGTATATATCTGGTTTACTTTTTGTTCACCACTTCTTCGATAAATCAAAACCCTTCTCATTTAACACCCAGTCGACGTTTGCTTTGGTGAGGAAGAACGAAGGCGCAACGCACGGGTTCTGAAACAAGTTTCATTCTTGTGCTTTTCATAAACTCCAATAATATAGTTAGCTCTAGGCACTCAAATAGTGTAATCTTTAACTATTTTTACTTCTGATGTTTATAATGCTCAAGTAAAAAATAGTTCATGTTTCTTCATTCACCAAATTGTTAGTGTTTATAATTGACCGTTCTATGCAACTGTACAACTGATGAACTAGTTCAAATTCGCAAGGTAAGAAGGGAAACTAATGATTTCACTTAAAAAAATTTGGGTTCAATAGCAAAAAGAGTGGCATAACATTCCTCCTGGTTGTTCCGTTTTTGTTTTTTAGTTGGAAATAAACCTGTTCAACTTGTTGAAGTTTTAGTTCATCCCTATAGATCACTTTTGAATTATACCGTATAGAAAAATGAAATAAAGTTAACTTACCATCCTTAAGCTATATCATCTATATGTAGTGATGGACATATTTAGGCCAAAAAAAGTGGAGAGCATTTACGTGGAATGTGTCATTACTTAATGTAAATAGTTTAACCGGAATTAAGCAGTCATTATAGCTAAGTGGAAGATTTTGACTATACTAAATGAAATATGTTATGTTTGGCGTGCTTGTTTTGATTTATTGAACAATTTTGTCAATTTTTTTGCCCAAATATCGATTTGCTGAATACAAGCTCTCATCTCGTATCCACCAAGCGTTTACTGCATTATTTACCCTTTAAAAAAAGAAAAAAAAAATGCCAGCTCAAAAGTTTGTTACTAACAGAACCTGTTTCTTATCGAAATGTTGAAATGAAGTCGGGGAAAGCAGCGATAACTGAGACAGATCACAGAATAGACAATCAAGTTAGTTATTTCAAATTTTGTTTCCGAATTTGAAATAACTAACTCTATCCGTCATGTTTATGTCGGCCATTCTTACGTTAGGTAATCTCTTCTGTTTTTTTCGAAAAAAAGGGAAGCTTTCATAATTAAATCAGTACGGAGGAGTAGCAGAAAAAATTTCTCTATTGTAATAAAAAAAAAATTTTCTTAAAATGTGGAAATCTTTTCCGTGGAAAAATGTGTCTTTTCCGGAAAGTTTTTCTGAAGTGACAGAAAATTTTCCGTCAATACAGATTTTTTTCCTTTTATATTCTTGACGACGGAAAAAGCTCTTGCGAGTCATAAAGGTAGCAAGCTAAAGGTCTCTTGGAAGTATCACTTCTTTTGATTTAAAGTCCATTTTTGGACTTTTCCGCAAACCTTCTTGCTTCCTTCCTGGAATTAAATTCAGTTAGCAAATTAAAAACAGCCTGTTAATAGCCAAACCGTAGTAGCAACGATATCTTCTGTTTGGGTCATCAAAATAATCAGTGTGGCCCGACTTCCAATCCAAGTCTTTGCTGATAAGAATCTTTTTCCACCCTCTTCCTCTTGTTTTGATGCATTTAAAGCCTTCATGGCACAGTTTGCGATTAATTGTCGAAGATTAGTAGCAAAGTATTTGTTCTATATATTTGAACTGACCGGCAATGATTCGCGCGGTCATTGTCCTCATCAGATCTCAGTCGTGAAATGTTGGTAGCACTCGAAATAGAAATGATAGAAATAAAATATTACTGTTAGTCATAGTAGTAGTATCATTGATCATTATCTTCAATTTAATGTCCGACAGAAACAACTGTAGCAAATGTTATATTCTCTATTTGTTTGCCTCTGCACTGTTCGATTGTTCCAGGATTATGAACAGTCTTATATTTTTTGCGATGTTGTTTTTTAAATACTTGGTTTCAGCGTAATAGTAATGGTAGTGGTAGCGTATTAATAATGTCACTCATTAGGTTGCTTTCATTTGATGAAGAGATTGGAAGTTTAATAGCGGAGAAATAAATTGGTATAAATGTTTATTTCTCAAAAGCCAATTAGATGGATAATATACACTTGAACAGTTGTTCAGTGGAGCATTTATCTAGCATTCAACTGTCATTAATACAGCAGTAATGGATGTTTATTCTGCAAAGCAGTATTCGAACAGAAAGTAACTAGACAAGTAGCTTACTAACTTTCTTGCGCTATTTTTCATCTATAAGAAATGTTGTCCGTCCACTATTACTTCGGTAATTATTGCTTGCCATCTTTTCTCCTTAGAAAGCAATTAAAATTTGTAATTTCGAGAAAAAATCTGATTGGCACACATAACAACAAATTAAACTTTTGAGATAGAATCTGATAGTTGGGTACCACAGATAGTTTTCTTAAAAACTGATGTTTTACCTGGAAGAACTTGAGCGTTGTCGACTCTTGGTAATACCGAAGTTAATGTAAACTTTGAATTATTTCCAGCTTAATTTTGCTTTAATAAAGAGATAGTATCAGATCCCCCTATTTTGGACCGCTTTAATTTGTTTCAAATTAGATCTTAAAAATTAAAAAAATTTTCAAGAATTAAAAATAAAAATTATAAAAAAATAAAAATAAAAAAATCTTAAAAATTAGATCTTAAAATCTTATTCATTTTTAATTTAAAAGGAACCGTGGTTGTTTGTCATTGCACACTTGATCAAATTTTCTTCTTTTTGGACTAAGAATTTTTCTTTTAACAACTTTCAATTTTTTTTCTTAGAAATGGTAAGTTTTATCCATTTGCCGAAACTGATTTTTATACTAACCACATGAATTTTTTATGGGTTTTTGAGATTATTTGAGAAAATACTTCATTTAGTTTGAGAAAATACTTTGCATATAAATTGGCGTTCTCTTTTTCAATTCAGGTAATTTGAATTGCAGAAGCAATTCACTTCTTTATTTTGGCAGTTGTATAGACAACTGCTCAAATAAATATCTTTCATTTTTCTTTCATTCTTCATAGGTGAAATTCAATTGAAATTTTTTAATAAGCTGGTCAGAAAAAATATGTCAAAAACTGATGCAT